GCAGTGTGAAGATTGCATATAGATATTAGAATAGCGAGCTAGGACAACTTTTAAGGAAGGTACACATCGGTTTTTTCATCTCTCTTTACCAAACTCCCCCTTTGGAGAGGGATGGTGAGGGGGGGCCCCCCCCTGCCACCACTGGCAAAAAGAGATGAAAACCGACCCGCTCAAGTACCAACGGTGTGTTTGAAACAGTTCTACCGATTTTTTACCGCACTTCAGTTGTTATTTGAATCCAGTCGTAGGTTTGGAAATTGCAACTATTGTTTACCCCTACCACGATATGTGCTCCTGTCATCGTCGACTTGACGATCTCGAGGGGACACGGGTGGGGTAGGTGATGCTACTGTACCTTTCGACCATTGACAGTAATTGATAGTATGCTCCCATCCAGAGTTATGTACTTTGACTATATGTTTTAGTATTACTTCTACGTGAAGTCGACGATGATAGGAGCACATATCGTGGTAGGGGTAAACAATAGTTGCAATTTCCAAACCTAGGACTTGTTGCCTTCCTTCAAATAACAACTGAAGTGCGGTAAAAATCGGTAGAACTGTTTCAAACACACAGTTGGTGGTGTTCATCAGGTTAATAAGTACCATGAAATCAGCTGAAATGTTCAGTAAAAATGCACAAATGCACACAATGATTTACTGAACATTTCAGCTGATTTCATGGTACTTATTAACCTTTCTACAGCAGCTTTTCCGATGATATATGGTACAATTACACGTCAAAATGGTGCAAAGCGGTGTGTACTAAGGAGCATTTTCAAATACTTAATGTACAGTTTTCTCTATTTTAGGGAGCGTACTTTAAATATTTACTGAGCATTTTAAGATTTTTAACGTATTTTGATCAATCATTTAAGGAGCAACCCGATCTATTTAAGGAGATATTTTTTACTTATTAAGGATAATTTCATCTGTTTTATTGAGCAAAAGTAGGGCTGCCATCCATGAACACAGAAGCCATTTGCTATTTTTTTTAGCAAAAGCCAACTGAATTTCTGTGGAAAGCAACGCGAGACAGTCGTTCCCTTGCCCTTATGGAAACCAAATACAGTATCTGAGTGTAGGTGGTTCATCTCAACCCAACATTGATCAACCCAATGCAGTTACATATGTAGGGAAAATTATGTCAGTTCTTAACCATTATATTAAATTTAAATATCTCATAAGTCTGATTATGCTAACATAAATTGTCGCGAGTTTTGAACTATATCCGAAAAATTGAATTACATGAAAAATTTAAGATCAAGTATGAAATTTTACTAAGCATGAAATACATCAATTTTACGTAGTTCTACGTCATACTGCGGTAGTGTCAACAACCCTTTATTTTTTATATGGAAACAACCCTTTATTTTTTATATGGACATAAACTAACGAAAATATACACTCATTTAAAAAAGAGAAGAGACTTTACTAGTAAAAAAAAATCAACAAAAGTGAGAGTAATATAAGAAGGATGGTGACGACGTCATAACACCCGAAAGCAAATTTGCGAAACCGAACGAAGAATAGCAAAGCTTAGCTATGTTTGCATGATTATTGCGCTTGATTGTATTCTTTTGTAAAGTTTCCGGGAAATATCAACTGGTTTTTTGTATCTTTATGATAACTCCTTACTTGAAAATGGACAAAAACTCACCGCATGCCCCGGCATGCTGATTTTTTATGGTATACTGTGTTTAAATAAAATAATCAATAAATTATCTCAACATTCAGTGGAAGAACATTAACAAATTTTGGTTTCATACAGAAATTCTATAATCCTTATAAGTTATGCAAACGCTGATTGAAACATACGTTATGACGCTACTACGATCGTATTTGAGCGTCGAAACAAGCGAATCGTGCGAAGCCGAATGAAAGCCGAGTGAAAAACCAACTGCACCAAAACATGCGGCCCATCAATTCCACACCTTGTAAGACTTGTTTGGAAGATACAAACATGCCTTCCAAGCTTGATCTAGGATTGGCATTAAAAGTAGTAAAACCTTTCGATGGTACCATGACGCAATTGTCCGGATACAACGAAAGTTTTAGAGACTTGGTGTCTTCGAAGAATTTTCTCGTAATAATGGTCTACGTCTTTTGAAATAATTACCCAAATTTTTACTAACCATATTATAGCATATTATACACTTGCAAACAGTGCTGTGTTACCCAATATTGACCTGCGCCCTTAAAATATAAATCTGACGTTGTTTCAAATAGTGTATTAACTAGTTTATATGGCACGTTGCAAAACATTTGCTCTTTATCGAGCCATACCGTAATCTACAGGTGGCGAAGGTGGCATTTGATACACTACAAAAACCCGAGGGGTGGAAAATCTCTTTAATGTTCCTTGAATATCTACAAAGTCCCTTTATCCTTTCTTCTTGAAATTATGATTTGTTTCCGTCAACATTTTCAAAGGACCATAATTTGTGATTTATTATTTATCTCATATCATACTTAAATTTCTTTTAATTTCAGGAAAAACCATGAACAATTTCTAGAACTTTCCTAAACATTCATGAGCAAATCAAAGTTCCCAAAACTACCAGTATGTTCTCAAATCAAAACCTCCGCAGTATGAAGCCCTTACTGCACTAAGCGAAGCAATGGTGCAACGGAATTTTGTTTCACCGAAGCAATGGTGTCTGACTATTGTTTCACCGAAGCAATGGTGCAACTGACTTTTGTTTCTCCGATGATGATAGTTAAAATAAAAAAAAAAAAAAAAAAAACAAAAAAATAGAGATACATAAATATGGATTCGCTTTATGCGTTTTACTCAGAATACCTCTATTTTTTCTTGATTTGCTTTCCGTCGATCTTGTTTTCCGTGCTGAGTACCAATGCTACCGAAACCAGGGGAAGCTCCCACACCTGGACCCTACCTATCGACTCATCAACTCATGAACCGGGGACCAACGGCTTTACTTGATCAGAGATGTTCAGAATTCCTCTGGCGTTATACAAATCATTACCAATTTGGTTTCAATTCATGCTGGAGGTTGTGGATTTGTGATATCTTGAGTAATAGTAAATTATGACTACTGTTAAACATAAATCAATCGCCCGCATAAAAGAACAGCAACTATAAAAATATATGTGGAATAATGTAAAATGGCACATCCCATGTGGCTCTCTTATAAGAAACCTTACTTCCGTAAAGGAAACTTTTATTTAGGAAACCTCGTGAACTCAACCTTTGCTACTTTTAGCAAAAGTGGAATGCCAAACTCCTCAAACATGTGTGCGTGTCAATAACGCAATCGTCGCTACGCAAATCTTTATCTCGCAAATAAGAACCAAATATGTTTGTGCTGCTAGAATTAATGCTACCTTTGGAAACCTTAATAGGCAGTTCGTTTACTCTTTCAGTGCCAGGTTTTTACTTTTATACCAGGTTCTTGTCTTAGACGTTCCCAAGAACTCATGACATTACTGAAACACTGGATCCGTGTATTCAGCTCATAACATATTCAATAACTTCAGAAAAGCTTGAGTTCAGTAGGGAAAATGTTGAATCGCTCAGAGATAGACTCACTTCCGAAAGTGTTAAATTTTCTGAACTGATTTAACACTTTCGGAAGTGAGTCTATCACTGAGCGATACAACATTTTCCCTACTGAACTCAAGCTTTTCTGAAGTTATTGAATATGTTATGAGCTGAATACACGGATCCAGTGTTTCCATTTTTTTTTCGAAGTGATTTAAAACTTTTGTAAAGTTCAGTACTGTTCGAAGTTATTCTGTACATGCTATTTTTTCTGAAATGGTCCAGTACTTTCCAAAGTGATCTTAAGCTTTTCTGAAGTTATTCAGTACTTTCTGAAGTGGTTCTGATCTTTTTCAAAGTGATTCCAAACTTTCCTAATGTAATGTAATGTCTTAGATCTCGTTTTTGGAAACGTAACAACAATGCACTCTCTACAACTCGAGTTATAGAATTATCGAGTTATAGAATAACAATCCCACACAAATTCGCTATCGCAGTAGCCATGACACTTATTTTAATTATGGTTATATAACTCGATATCGAGCTATGTTGTCAAAATCGAGACTTTTTTTCGATTTGTCACAATTGAGTGGCTTAGCGATAAGAATCAATACTCCCTTAAGTAAATCCTGTTGAAAAACTATTGAAAACTTTGTGGAAGTGAGGAGGATCTCTCGGTTTTTGAAAAAAGTTCAAAATTTCTTCTGCTAGTACTGCAACACTTTAGAAAATCTCGGAATCAGTCTGAATTACTACAGAAAAACTTCAGAAAGTACTGAATCACTTTAGATAGTACAGACATAATTGAGTATGGTAATGATTAACCGCTCGCAGTTGCTACTCCGTTATTACCAGATCACCTGACAGAGAAGCAACGTTGGACTAGCATGCATCTGCAATTTGTAAAAACTGGTAATCTCATACTTTACGATAGACAATAACAGCGCCGGACGCTTCCAAATGTAGGTTACATTTGGAAGCGTCCAGCGCTGTTATTGTCTATCGTAAAGTATTGTCATTACTGGCAGAAGAAATTTTGAACTTGGTTTTAAATGATTCTGTGCTCACCAAAGTGATTCCGATTTTTCTGAAGTTGTTAAGAAAATGAAGCGGCATTTTTTTCTTGGTTGGAGTTATTCACGAAGGTTTGCGGCTGACTGTAGCAAATAAACGGGCTCATGTTAACAATTTTGTTGATTTTCTTTGCGCTCCGCTTGGAAATACCGGAAAGTTTTGATTATTTTCTATGTTGTAAAAATAAACCGCCCATTTACACGTTTGACAAGTTGCAACTGAATTCTTATAATGGTTTTAAAATAACTGTTTCATGGCCAACTAGTTTTATTGCGCTTATATATACTTCAAGGCAATCATGAAACCTTTCATAAGTGAAAATAGCATAAGCATCATTTGGTTTTTTTATAAGCTTTATAGGGGTTTTGTAGATAGCTATAAGAAAGTTCCATAACTTGCATTATATCTGACCGTCATAAAGCTGTAGGTAATGGTTGCAGCTGCAATAAAACCTTTATAAATTTTCAATATAGCCAAGCAGCTCTAGATTTGTTACTTGGGAGAGGAAATCACGCTTACCATTACACCACCGGTACCGCTATTGCTAAGATCTAGAGCCAGTTTAATGAATTTACCAATTTTAAGGATGTATTGGATTTTTCAGAGGTCCATTCCTTGATCCCCTGGGTCAAAAATTCGATCAAAACTCTGAAATCATAAGGAAAGACGTCTGTGAGTGCTTTTGAAAAAACTGTGGAGCTCTTGGATCAGTTTCAGTAATTGACCAAGTATATGGATATTCTTGATCTTGCGGAGAACTATCCCGTAGTCCCCAGAATTCACATTTTGGTCACAATTCCGTATTCATTCTGATAAGATGTCAATGAATAGTTGCGACAAACCTGCGGTGTTCAAGGATCCGTTTCATGAATTAACCACTTTTACGGATGTTGTCGATCTTTTAGTGAACGAACCCGTAGTCCCCAGCATTCATTTTCTGGTCACATCTCCACATTCATTGTGATAAGACATCTAAGAGTGGTTTCGTCACATCGCCGTTGGAATCTGTTTTATGAATTGACCACTTTTACGGATGTTCTGGATTTTCCGGAGGACCATCGCATAGTCCCCAAAGTCCATATTCCGGTCAAAACTCTGAAGTCATTCTGATAAGACGCCTATGAGTGGTTTCGACACAACCGCGAAATTCTAGGATCAGTTTCATGAATTGATCACTTTTACGCGTAGTCCCTAGCGTCCATTTTCTGGCCAAAACTCTAAATTAAATGTGATAAGACGTCTATGAGTGGTTTCGAAAAAAAGCCACAGAGCTCTAGGACCAGTTTCAATTATTGACCAGTTTTACGGATGTTCCGGATTCCAGAGTCCATATTCCGGTCACAACTTCGAATTTATTCTGATATTACGTCTATGAGTGGTTTCGGAAAAAAAAAACCGCGGAGTTCTAGAATCGGTTTAATGAATTGACCACTTTTGCGGATGTTCCGCATCTTTTAGTGGACCATCTCATAGTCCCCAGCGTCCACATTTTCTGGTCACAATTCTGAATTCATTGTGATAAGACGTCTGAGCGGTTTCGAAAAAAAAACGCAGAGCTCTAGGATCATTTTCAAGCCTTGACCACTTTTACGGATGTTCAGGATCTTCCGAAGGGCCATCCCGTAGTCTCCAGATTCCATTTTCCAAACACAACTCTGATTTCATTCTGATACGATGTTTATGAGTGGTTTCGAAAAAACCACGGAGTTCTAGGATCGGTTTCATGAATTAACCACTTTTTGGAAGTTCCGGATCTTTTTGTGAACCATCCCGTGATCTCCAGCATCCATTTTCTGGTCACAAATCTTAATTCATAATGATCAGACGTCTATGAGTGGTTTCGAAAAAACATTGAGCTCTAGGATCAATTTCAAATATGGACCAGTGTTGCGGATGTTCTGGATCTTTTAGAGGACCATCTCATAGTCCCTAACGTACATTTTCTGGTCGAAAATCTTAATTCATTGTGATAAGACGTCTATGAGTGTTCGAGTGAGTCACAACTTTGAATTAAATGTGATAAGACGTCTATGAGTAGTTTCGAAAAAACCGCGGAGCTCTAGAATCAGTTCCATAAAATGACCATTTTCACAGATGTTCCGGATCTTCCACAGGACCAGTCTTGTGACTTACCGGGAACTGACTATTCCCAAAAGGTGACCAACTATCTGCTTCTCAACTTCTCCAAAGACATCAGGATTAGCTATACTGATTGCGGTACAATCAGTGTTTGGTCCCAATTAGCTCAAATCCCATATGCTACGTGTATTCGTTAATGCCGGATCGATCGTTCTATAGGAATCCAGTGGCGATCGTTCTATAGGAATCCAGTGGCAACCGTACTATAGGAATCCGGCAAGAACGAATCCGACAAGAACGAATCCATCAAGAACGAATCCGTACTATAGGAAACTTAACTGTATATGATCATTTTGTATATGCAAATTTCAATCAAATCTCTTATATAAACATTAAACCAAAAGCGCCAGCCCGTGTAACGTCAAAAAGAGCTGAAACATTCAGACAGTGGTTATAGCAACAAAAGACACGAGCCTGGATGTCGGGCTGTGGAAAATATGAACTTTTATTTTTAGTGGTAATACGTGATGTTGCCTAAGCTGCAATATACGAGCTGCATGCACATTATTAATTAATATCTTCATAATAATAAATCGTGATGCTGCCTTCAGCAAAGTTGTTTCTTATAGCTTAAGGTACGTGTGGTGAAATGCTGAGCTAAATCGATTGTGCTGAACCAGTTCTATGCACGATAGAGTGAAGGAATATTATTTCTCCATATATTTCAACCAATATCCCCATATAAAGTTTAAATCAAAAGCGCCAGCTCGTGTTACATCCGAATGAGCTGAAATTTTCAGAGAGTGGTTTTCTCACCTAATGGCAAAATGATAAAAAAAATTCCCCCATATAAATGTGGGACAGTCTATTACTACAGCCGCTATTTTTTTCTGATTTAAAAATCGAGAGGAATGTCTACCGGGTTTTATAAAAATATCGTTGTGCTCAGAAAACGAAGCTCTAATCAGATGATGTATAAAAATCGGAATATTTGTCAAAGTTGAACAACCCATTTGACTGACTACAAGGAAAACAAAACATAGGTATTGAAAATTTTTCATGATTACTTAGAATCTGTGATTCTCGGTAGGAAAAGTGTAAAATTGGTAGTTTTGAACCTTTCGTGATGCATCGTGGAAAATTCCTTAAAACAATTTGTTTGGTTTTTTCTTTCGAAAACTGTAGATTTATTCCACAATGTATTTCCTCTTTCGATGACAAAGAACCAACCAGCGCTGCCATGTTTTATACATTCTAGTCACCCTCGTTCTTCCACTCCGTGAGAAGGGTTTTGACTTCCCTTAGCAAATCTTGCATTTTTGCACTATGTTCGACATTACTGTCCATATGTGCAGAAGCTTTTGAACTCGGAGAGTTGATTTATATTGAACTCGATTTCTGTCGTGGTGGGATGAAAATATAATCCATATTCATTGTTTCCGGTTCATCTCTTATGATTTCATTGACTTCACTGTGTGTCATCCCCCGCGCACCATACTTTCCGTCAGTTTGTTGAATATCGGACATGATCTGCAAATCCTCGTTGTCGTTGTGAATTCGCGAATTTTCCTCCAGCAGTCTACCAACGTGTTCTGTTTTATGTCCTTTTGAGTCACATCCAAGCAGTTGAAACAATTCTTGATGCTGAACTTCTTCCACCAAAGACGTAATCTTTGGAGGCATGTATAAAAGCATTATGTTGGGATTGCCTATGGTGGGCGGATGCGACGGAGCGTTACCAAAGAGCAGCAAAGCCTTAAAACTAATGTTCTTGGCTGCGCAGAACTCCTCTAATTGTGGTGAGAGGCAGTAGTTTGTTCAGTTATCAAATAAATCGCAAATAAATGTACAGGGAGATTCGCTTTCTTTAAATTTTTATAGACCCTTGGATTCGCGACATTGTTACCAACGGCTTCATCATCAAATACCCTTTCGTGTTACAGCAAAACATAATTGAGAACCCTTTTTTGTCCCCTTTCGATCCCGGCATTGTTTTCAGACGCTCTGAGACATAAAATCTTTAAGGCGTTTTTTTTTTTTTTGTAAAACAGTTTAGTTTCATCTTGGTCAAGACAATACTGAACACTTCCAATCTATTTTTTGACCAACGATCAAATGGCATCGATTTCTGGACCCTACACGTCATCCCCTTTCCGGAAATACACATATTGGAGAGTATTTGACAGTTTTTCTTGAACCGATGGCCGCATCTTGGATTACAAAAGGACGTCTAGCATCGATTTTCGGCCTCTACACGTCGGCTTCTATCCGGCAATGCCCACATTTTAAGGTATTTGAAAGTTTTTCTTGAACCGACGACCGCCATCTTGGATTTTAAAATGGTGTCCGAAATCAATTTCCGGCCTCTACACGTCATCCCTTTTCCGGTTTCTGTTCTCACATTGCACAGCAACATCTTACAAGCTTTCCAGACATAACATATTAAGGAAGTTCATGTGCACACTAGCGCCACGTAGCTAGAGAGTTCTGAAATAATATGACCACCATCCAAAAGGACTTGGTCACCTGAATAACTTTACTCAAGACAGCAACTTTATATACGGCCAGGTTCTCTAGATACAGTTTATACAGGAAGTTCACTTGCATACTAGCGCCGCGTAGTGTCAAAACATGCTTGGTTTCCACCGCGTCGATTGCTTTGGCAGGGTCTTCTAGTAGTTCCAAAGTTGGCATATCCAACGAATCATCTTCCTCCGGTTTGGATTTAAAAGCTATTTCTGGTTCTAGCGGTTCGACAAGTTGGACTGAGAGTGATATAAAATCTTCATCTCTGACGATCGAGTCCGTTTCTACTCTCAGGCAATTAATTTGGTTATCTGCTAAACTTGAAGTCCACGTTAGCTCTAAATCTTGAATTATGTTGTCCGAAGCAATCATTGGACGTATTTTAAAGGCACGCCAGAAATCCATTCCTAAAATAAGCGGCTTTCGAATTTCCGGAACGACCAAAGTTGGTATTACTTTTGTCTCATTTCCAAGTGTGTATGGGGTGTTTACGTAACCCAAACACGTGTGTTTAGTGTCATCTGCGGTACAAATTTTAATATTTGATTTCAGTATAGTCAAACCATGGGATTCTAAAAGGCTGACTGAACTCATAACGCTGACCGCAGCTCCTGAATCCAATAATGCAGTTATTTCAGTGCCTAAAACATTAACTTTAATGTGAGGGCATGAACCAGGGTTTACGCGAATTTCAAATAGTGAATAGTTGTCGGTTGTTCGGTTTACAGTTCCTTGATCGGGAATCGGTCCTACAGGCGAGATGTTCGGATTCCCAGGCAAGCACCCCGCATTCAGTTTGTTGACTGTTGGCAATTTTGGGCATTATTTCGGCCCGTACTAGGATGGTTGTTCTCACAAGTCCTTGTAGTTCTGCCTAATTTTCCGCAAGCGTAGCAAAATATTATCTTACGCTCTGTGCAGTCTCTCCAGGTATGACCAGGTTTCTGGCAATTCCAACAGGCCATTTTATTGGGTTCTGTCCGTCTTTGTCCCGTCTGCTGGTTAGAAGACGTATTTGCTTAGTCCTTCAAGGCAAAGTCGGT